GGAAAAAAATTGAAATTGATCAAAATAATCCAAACTTAGTAGGCCATAATGGGCACGTCTTCTTATTTATTCTTTAATCTTTATTAGTTACTACTTTTCTCTTTATTTTTAATTATTAATATTTTATAAATATATAATTATTCTTGTTAAATAGACATTTATTCTGATATTTTATTTTTTTTATTTTTATGCTTTTCATTAACTTACACATACACACATATACTGTACTAGCTGTTACCCGCGACTTCGTCTGCGGAGGTTTTGCAAGCAAACCCCATTTACATTCAATATTTCAATAACCATAGTAATTGTTATATAACACCTACCGCTGACAATAATGAGAATTGCCGAGAATCAAACGAACTATTTTCAATTTGATCAATTTTCTGGAACGTTTACAATCGTTCTATAATCGAACCAATATGCAATAACAAACTCGAATCTAAAACGGTTCGAGCATTTTAAAAATCGAAATAGATAAAAATATTTATAACAATGTCTGAAATGTTATTAATTTAATACACCTAAGTACTGATGAAGACTAAATCCTCTCCCTCTCCCGCCCGCGGGAGAATTTCGAAAAATCCCTTCTTAGCGTGCATTCCCATGGCATACCCTACTAAAACGCAGATAAAAACAAAAAATTGCATCTAAAATAGTGCAGTAGAAGCCGTTCTTCCGGTTAAGCCTTAATCCTCTCCCTCTCCCCCTGCGGGGGAATTTTGAAAAATTCCTTCTTAGTGTGCGTTTCCATGACGTACCCTAACTGTCTACCAAATTTCACCTCTTTAGGTTAAACGGTCTGCTCTGGGCGATGATGAATCAGTGAGTCAGTCAGTCAGTCATTCAGGACAAGCAATTTTATATATTTAGATATGCATACATATATTCAATACACATATGTATATAGTGGTAATAGAGAAAATATCAAAAGTGCTTTGCCATTCTCAAAAGATTGAGAAACACAGGTTTAAAATAACGTTTTAATATTTAAATTAACATAAATATGATTTTTTGAATAGATCAAATTTTACAAAGATTTTACGAAATTCAAAATAAACTATTCTTGCACGATCTTATTTGTTAATTAAAAACCTTCACATAATAAAAATTGTTTTTAAAATAATATTGTGAAATTAAATATTTAAATTGATTAAATTTTCTGTGATTTTTGTAACTTTATAATGTTTATAAATTAATATGGTTATGTAATGTTTTATGCAATTGTACTCTTTTATACTATTTATACTCTAAGAAGTTTTTGTACAAGTACTTCTGTAATACTTTGATATGGTTAGTTTCATTTGATTCTAAATGAAATGCAACTAATTACTATTATATTACATTCTATTAATTAAAAATTAGAAATTTAGTTATTAAAATACTGAACGATATACATTTGAACAATTTTCAACACTTATTTTATATTTTACAGAGACTGGTATAATTTACTTTTTCTACAACATCAATAATTAAAAACTGCTTTTAATTCTAAACAGTAGTAATGCTTAGTTTTCGATTAATTGTACCTTCAATTTAAAATTCATAATCTGTTTAACATTGTAATATGTTTTCGTAATATTTTCTAGTTTTTTTTAATGAATAAAAGATTAAATTTATTCACTTTTGTCTATTATAAAATATATTTAGGTCTCATTCATCTAGTATAAGCGTGTTTAATAAGAGGATCCTTGGGAGTAAGAGAAAATAAGTAGCGGTGCTAAGGATCATGTAATCCACATAAAATAAAATTGTAACAAATTCAAACTTAAATATTTCATGACAGCAGAACATACCGTATATTCGATCGAAAAAAAATCAATAGTAAACAGATTTTTTTTCCTTACAAATGATTTGAATTAACATGCTCACAGCAAGCTCTGTTATTGCCTGTGCTTGATTAATTTAAATATTAAATATTTATTATCTATTGAGTAGTTAATGTGTTCAATAATATACAAGATATTACTTTTGTTTTCTACTTTGAGTTAATAATGACAGAACATCTAATACAATAATTCAAAACTTAATAAATTGATTTCTCATGTAAATATTATCTATAGTATACTGGATTAACATAGTTCTTTTTATATGCTATAAGAAAAAATTAAATTAAGAGATACTCCAATAAAATCAGTAAATCATCCACAAATAACTAACGAAAATTTTTATAACAAAAATTACATTTCATTAAATCTAATAATTTTATGTACTTACAAAGATGCAGCCAAATGTATGGTTGTGAAGAACAAGTGGCATATATTCCAGGAATGTAGTAGTCAAGTGCATGGCAATATTGTGAAAGAAATCATTTAAAAAATCAAATGAATTAAGCCACACAAAAATATAAATAATTAAATATTTTTGCAGATGACCACGGGATGCTGGTCATAAAAAGCAAAATTTTAATTTTAATTTTTATGGAAACTTTTGAAGAAAAATTTAGAACATGCATTAATGTTTTAAAATAATAAATGCAACTAAATTCTACATGCAAATAGAATAATTTATAATAACAAATTATACTTTAAAAAGAATGCTCATATACATAATAGCTGTTTTGCAAAACTTGAAAATAAAATTTGCACATGCATTGTGTGAAAAAAAAATCTATATGTGTAAATAACTGTTGGAATTTCAAACATGCGGGGCTAGTCTCTTGCAAAAGTATTATTAAAGGCTGTGGCCCATAGTTCTTTTATTAAAACTTAGAAGACTGCCCTGACTAATGTGCATCTAAAACTTTATTTTCTAAGTACTACTTGTATTAATATTGTGATCCTAACTATCAATACTAATTATATCTAATAACATAATTATCTATATTTTTCTATAAGGAATGTAATCAAATAAAAAATCAACACAAAAATAGCAGTTTTATGGCCAGCAGATAATAAAAAATCTCTAATTTAATACAAAATAAATTACTAATAATTACTGTACTGACCATTTAAATTTTAATTTAAAGTAAATCTGAAATATTTGCATGTTTTTAAAATATAATCATTTATTTTTAAATAATTAAAATAAATCTAGGTCTATTATATAATATATATACATGTTCAGTTTAGTATATGTAAATTAGGAAAATGAATGCAAATTTTCTAAATAAAATTAAAATACTGTAGAACATCTTTTTTGATATGTTTTGTTGCAAAAAAAATAAAAAAATTGAATGTTTTCAAAAAAAATAACACAGATATATCTAATTCTGAGAAAATCAGAAAGTTTTGAACCAGTAAAATATTCCATTTCATTCAATTGTTTCACATATAAAAATTCCAAAACTGGAATTGAGAGTTTCTTTCAATGTTTTCTACAAACAAGATAAAGGAAAATTATAAATTATTTAAAAATTACAGTAATATTTTTGGATTTATCGATTTCATAGATTTAATCGATTGTTACTACTGATATTAATGTTTATGCTAAATTTGATGACAAGAATTCGGATTTACTATCTCTTTTCTACTTCATTCTTAATCTCATCATTTCAATTCTTTGGATAAAGTAATATATATGTAAAATTCAATTTATTATATTTTAAAATTTTCACTTGAAAAAATTTTCTTTCTTAGAACTGCATCTGCACTAATATTAAAGATGATTAGATTAGTAAACAAAATTTATGAAAAAAATCTGAAGCAGTATTTTAATTTTAACTGACAAAGATTAGTATGCAATTTAATGAAATTCACATTTGTTTTCCTACAAAACTGAACACTTTCAATATATGTAAGAATTACTATTTAAACAATTGTTTTAAATAATTATAAATAATCTGTTATAATCAGTTTACATAGAGAATATAATAATAAAACCATTTATCTACTAAAAAATAAATTAAGCCATGATAATTAAATATAAAATATAGGTCAGTAATGATGATGTTGTAAATGTCTCATATCAGTTTATTATATATTTTTTATTTGATATACATTATTACATAAAGAATCATATTATATTTTAATAATCTGTATGAGTTAAGTATTGTATTTCTCATTATATATACATTTGAAATTTATATACAAAGCATAAAACATTTTAAAATTTGTGTTAATCTGTTAAATTATATATTTATCCCTATTTTTTTTAAAAGTGTTCTATAATAATTTATAAAACATGTTGCTACTATTCCTACAACATATCTAAGAAATATTAAAACAATTGCTTAAGAATAAATTTATAAATAATGTTTTATTTATTAAATAATAGATTTAACTAATAAACCCTATCATGCAGATTAAATGCAATATTTCATAACTTTCATTAAGCAATAATAATTATTAAAAACTGTTGCTGTTTAATATTTCAATTTCTTAGACACAAAAAAGTGTATTTTGACATTAATTATTGTTGTGAAACCAGAATTACCTGTGTTAAAAATTAGTTGTTTAATTAGGTTTTGCAAATACTGGCACACATTTCTATTGGCAAAAATTACAGTATTTGCTTAACTAAAATATAATAAATTATTTTCAAAGTTTAAATTATACAGGGATTTTTAAATTTATATATTTGTAGATGAAAATTTTTACTGATTTAAACACAGAATTTTCTAAATGTGTTTTAATGAAGAGAAAAAATGTTATTAAGAATTTTTTATTAATTTTCAAATAAAATCTCATCAATTCTAACATTTAATCAATAAATTTTAACTCTAGAAACGTTAAATGAAAACATTCTGATTGTTATTAACATATAACTTGTATTATTTCTCATAAAATCGGAATCTCCAATAACTTGGATTTCCCCTATCAAACAGATAAGAAATTTTAAAGTTATACATCTGTTAATAATAATTATAATAAATGTAGTGTATATTAAATTTATTATAATTATTAGATTATATATATATTATTCAAGATTTTGAAATATTTCAAATAAGAATAAGAATCTAATAATTCTAATAACAGAATATTTATTATAATTAACTTAATGCTATTAGTAGACATGTTGGCTTATATAATTAACATATATAGGATAATTATATAATTAACCTGTCCTTGTTCTCCTTCCACACTTGTCAGATCTCGCCATTCCTCAATCGTTTGCGCTAAGTCTACAGTATTCAATGGTAATTTTACTTCTCCTATTTGATCGTGTTTCGAGAAGCGATCAAAATCAAAGATGGCAAACACAAGAGTTTTCGTGGTAATTTCTGAATAAGGAACCTAAAAAGTAATGCTAAATATGTTTAGAGTCCGATATACATAAGAGCATATTAACAAGATATTAATACTTTACAAATACCTTAAAATTAAACGTTTCATTGAAAACTGGATTAAGAGTTTTGCGGTGTACTTTTGTTTCATACTTCTTTTTTTTGTCTGGTAATAAATATACTTTAACATATGGATCTGAAGTTCCAGACATATCCATACCTGGAAGATCCTCGGCTTGGATCACAGTTACAGCTAACTGGAAATGAATAATTTATTACTTATAAAATCTCCAAAGTTTTAAATTTTTTAAACCATCAGTTCTTTTTACATTATTTATGTTGAAATCATAATCCAATTTGTACTGTAAACGTCCCAGTTTAACTTCAGATTTTGCGCTCTCTTGATCTCCTTCATTACCTTCCATATTGTCTTGGAGTTCTTCCATATCTGGTTGAATCTAAAATAAAACAACTGGTTATTGAATTCAACCAGTCAAAAATTTGAACTATCGACCCAAAACTTTGTTGAATACGTGAAAATCCAAAATATAAAATTAGTTATATTTTAAAAAATATTAAAATCGGTCTTTATAGTCATCATCTCATATTTCATACAAAAAAAAAAAAAGATAATTTNGAATGCAAATTTTCTAAATAAAATTAAAATACTGTAGAACATCTTTTTTGATATGTTTTGTTGCAAAAAAAATAAAAAAATTGAATGTTTTCAAAAAAAATAACACAGATATATCTAATTCTGAGAAAATCAGAAAGTTTTGAACCAGTAAAATATTCCATTTCATTCAATTGTTTCACATATAAAAATTCCAAAACTGGAATTGAGAGTTTCTTTCAATGTTTTCTACAAACAAGATAAAGGAAAATTATAAATTATTTAAAAATTACAGTAATATTTTTGGATTTATCGATTTCATAGATTTAATCGATTGTTACTACTGATATTAATGTTTATGCTAAATTTGATGACAAGAATTCGGATTTACTATCTCTTTTCTACTTCATTCTTAATCTCATCATTTCAATTCTTTGGATAAAGTAATATATATGTAAAATTCAATTTATTATATTTTAAAATTTTCACTTGAAAAAATTTTCTTTCTTAGAACTGCATCTGCACTAATATTAAAGATGATTAGATTAGTAAACAAAATTTATGAAAAAAATCTGAAGCAGTATTTTAATTTTAACTGACAAAGATTAGTATGCAATTTAATGAAATTCACATTTGTTTTCCTACAAAACTGAACACTTTCAATATATGTAAGAATTACTATTTAAACAATTGTTTTAAATAATTATAAATAATCTGTTATAATCAGTTTACATAGAGAATATAATAATAAAACCATTTATCTACTAAAAAATAAATTAAGCCATGATAATTAAATATAAAATATAGGTCAGTAATGATGATGTTGTAAATGTCTCATATCAGTTTATTATATATTTTTTATTTGATATACATTATTACATAAAGAATCATATTATATTTTAATAATCTGTATGAGTTAAGTATTGTATTTCTCATTATATATACATTTGAAATTTATATACAAAGCATAAAACATTTTAAAATTTGTGTTAATCTGTTAAATTATATATTTATCCCTATTTTTTTTAAAAGTGTTCTATAATAATTTATAAAACATGTTGCTACTATTCCTACAACATATCTAAGAAATATTAAAACAATTGCTTAAGAATAAATTTATAAATAATGTTTTATTTATTAAATAATAGATTTAACTAATAAACCCTATCATGCAGATTAAATGCAATATTTCATAACTTTCATTAAGCAATAATAATTATTAAAAACTGTTGCTGTTTAATATTTCAATTTCTTAGACACAAAAAAGTGTATTTTGACATTAATTATTGTTGTGAAACCAGAATTACCTGTGTTAAAAATTAGTTGTTTAATTAGGTTTTGCAAATACTGGCACACATTTCTATTGGCAAAAATTACAGTATTTGCTTAACTAAAATATAATAAATTATTTTCAAAGTTTAAATTATACAGGGATTTTTAAATTTATATATTTGTAGATGAAAATTTTTACTGATTTAAACACAGAATTTTCTAAATGTGTTTTAATGAAGAGAAAAAATGTTATTAAGAATTTTTTATTAATTTTCAAATAAAATCTCATCAATTCTAACATTTAATCAATAAATTTTAACTCTAGAAACGTTAAATGAAAACATTCTGATTGTTATTAACATATAACTTGTATTATTTCTCATAAAATCGGAATCTCCAATAACTTGGATTTCCCCTATCAAACAGATAAGAAATTTTAAAGTTATACATCTGTTAATAATAATTATAATAAATGTAGTGTATATTAAATTTATTATAATTATTAGATTATATATATATTATTCAAGATTTTGAAATATTTCAAATAAGAATAAGAATCTAATAATTCTAATAACAGAATATTTATTATAATTAACTTAATGCTATTAGTAGACATGTTGGCTTATATAATTAACATATATAGGATAATTATATAATTAACCTGTCCTTGTTCTCCTTCCACACTTGTCAGATCTCGCCATTCCTCAATCGTTTGCGCTAAGTCTACAGTATTCAATGGTAATTTTACTTCTCCTATTTGATCGTGTTTCGAGAAGCGATCAAAATCAAAGATGGCAAACACAAGAGTTTTCGTGGTAATTTCTGAATAAGGAACCTAAAAAGTAATGCTAAATATGTTTAGAGTCCGATATACATAAGAGCATATTAACAAGATATTAATACTTTACAAATACCTTAAAATTAAACGTTTCATTGAAAACTGGATTAAGAGTTTTGCGGTGTACTTTTGTTTCATACTTCTTTTTTTTGTCTGGTAATAAATATACTTTAACATATGGATCTGAAGTTCCAGACATATCCATACCTGGAAGATCCTCGGCTTGGATCACAGTTACAGCTAACTGGAAATGAATAATTTATTACTTATAAAATCTCCAAAGTTTTAAATTTTTTAAACCATCAGTTCTTTTTACATTATTTATGTTGAAATCATAATCCAATTTGTACTGTAAACGTCCCAGTTTAACTTCAGATTTTGCGCTCTCTTGATCTCCTTCATTACCTTCCATATTGTCTTGGAGTTCTTCCATATCTGGTTGAATCTAAAATAAAACAACTGGTTATTGAATTCAACCAGTCAAAAATTTGAACTATCGACCCAAAACTTTGTTGAATACGTGAAAATCCAAAATATAAAATTAGTTATATTTTAAAAAATATTAAAATCGGTCTTTATAGTCATCATCTCATATTTCATACAAAAAAAAAAAAGATAATTTAATTACCTTTTCCTTGTACGCATTTCCAAGCAGCTGAACACTTTTTAAATCGACTGCACCTTTTAAACCTTTCTTTGTATCTTTTTTCCTTCGTCGGCACCATCGTTTTATACAACAAAAGCATATGCACAATACTAAAAATCCTACAGCAATTAATATCATAATAATGCCCCATACTGGTACTAAAAATAAAAACAACAAATGTCAGATTATTAAACTTATCAAAACATGAAACCAATAAAAGTTACAGAATACATACTGTGTGTTTTTTCTGATAATTCATTCATTATTTTCACGCTAATGTTTTCTTCTGTTGTCGTGACTGTAATATTTTGAGTGGTAACTTCATTATTTTCTTTTTTAGCTTGGTTTGTTTCAGGTGTTGGTGAATAAAAATGTTCCGCTTTCGGTTCATTATCGGCTCTCCGCAAACGATATAACAGATTTTCAATTGGAGCCACAGGAGGCATTCCCGATCCTATAAAGGAATAAGAAAATTTTCATAATTTAAAAGAAACTATTAATCGATTATATATTGATTAGAATAAAAAAACTACATTTTTCACGATAACAATCTGTAAAATGTTATCACTGTTTTATATTCTAATATTTAAAATACTTCACTTCGTTTTTGAAAGACGAATTTATTTTCATAAACATGATAAATATTTTAAATATTTTTAAAAATCANATTAATGTAAGAGCAATACACACTTGAGGTATATAGGCTATTACTGGTATAATTAGATATTTTATTGTAGGCCTACTCAAAATATCAGTTTTATTGCATTTTACTAGGTAAGAATAAGTGAAACGAATATATGCGTGCTATTTTTGCTGTTCCTCTTGTCATTATATAGTATTCTTTATTGCTACTTTCATTGAGTGTTTTTACTTATTTTATTTATTTACCATGTTTTTTTTTATGTATTTTTAAGAATTGCTTGAAAAAGTCTAACCTCAATCACCTAACAGTTTTGTTGATTTACAAATGATCCATTGTTTGAAATTGTATTTAAATCCTTTTTTTTTTTTTAAATCGATTCTATGATAGATTCAATTCGTATAAATTTGTAACTGTATCTTAGACTCCTTAAACTCATTTGATAAACATTAAATTAATTGTGTTTATTATTATTCGCTGTTTAGACTCGTGATATTAGGTGTAGTAACTTCGTTTCACATAAACAAATACCAAACCGGGAAATCGTTTGGTTATCACTTCAAGATTATTGTTAACTAAATTTCATCTAAGAATTAAATAACTCTATTCTGTTTTATTGAATTAAATTATAATTTTGCTTAAGTATATCTTGCTATATAGAGGTGAGACGTGACACTGACAAAGCGAGAAATGCAAGCGCACAGGTCTCAGAGATGAAATTTCTAAGGCATATAAAAGGAAATACATTACTCGGTAAAATAAAAAAAATAAAATAAAAAGAAGCAAGAAAGAATTAAATATTTTTTCAATAAATTACTGAAATATAGAATAAATGGAAAGAACATGAAGAGAGAATGCACGAAGAGCGATTCCCAAANTGAAATGTGAATGACAAACAATTCTTAAAATAACAGTACAATTATAATTGTTTAAAAAAACAAACATATTAAAAATATCTACAAGTACGCCTAATTTTTAATCAAAATTTAAATATATTCAGAGGATAATTTTAATGTAATTTGAAATTTCTCGTCACCAATATCTTTAATGATGTAATTAATAATTATCTTTATCGGTTAATACGTTACTAAGTTTCATCTATTAGTCCAGCAACATGATACATATATCAAATGTTAGATATCTATTAGTAAAGAACATTACTAGTTAAAGCTAATATATCATCTTTTTTCTTTTCTCCTGTCAGGCTGAAAATTTAAAAGTGTTAGTAAAATAAATTTAATTTTAAAAAAGTTCGACTGTATCTGTGTAAGAAGAAGATTTCTGTGTAACTGACATTGAGATAATATTTCTTGAAATATCTAGTCAGCTATGTGATGCTGACTTGTGAGTCTAGAATTTATCGGATATTTAATCATCATTTAAAGAAAAAAAATACTAGCATATCGAATACTAAATTCCACGTTTCTTATAGTTATACATCCTAAATCTTTATTAAAAATTAAATTTTGAAATTAAACAAAACATTTTTTCTGACGCTATTACAGTCTACTCTGCGATATCATTACAAAAAATAATTACTATATATAATTTTATCAGCTATTACATATTATATTCTGAATAATTGCAAGAAAAATAAAAAATAATTTTCTAATCATTAATACGTGGGGGGAAGTACTTTACGTCGCTTTAACCATCAGGGTGGAAAATGTCTGTTAAAGAATTTATTTATGGATATGGTGTTCCAAGCAGAACGTTTTATGATAATGTTTAGATGGACAACTATCCAAATAATTCTGAAAAATAAACCTAGCTATATTATTGTCAATATTACAGAAAATAAATTATTTATTAAGCTGAATAACTAAGTATATATTTCAAAAAGGAAACAAAGGAATAGTCTATTGAATATAATCCAAAAACTATAAAGAAATTAAATGATAACAAACTAAAAAATAAAATGAATATTCTAATATCATCGAATAAAACTAAAACTATCGACATATTTTTCTGTAAGATATTTTACTATATAGTAATAGTTTTTTTTTTTAATATTTCAGATAAATTTATACGTTATTTGAATAGAAGTTGTGAAGTTTATAAAACGTTATAATGATGTTTTTAAACTTCCATTTCATATTACGTAATTTTGTCCAACAGAAATTAGTTCATTATTAATATTCTCGATTTCAAAAATTTACTATAGCAAATTGAGGCATGAATAATAAATAATAAAATCAATATTACTTTCTCGTTGGATAATTAATATACTAGGACATCGCGCGACTTTGTCGTATTGCAATAGAATTGAAGCGGAGCCAGAAAGAAAGAAGCTATTCTTGCACCTTTTAGACACGGAAGAGGCAATCCTTGTACTGTACCCGATGAACTTTGCACTTGCCGCCACAAAAGAAGCTATCCTCGTACATGAAGGCCACGGGAGACATGATCCTTGCACTGGCCAGGTACGGAGAGACGATCCAAAAACAAAGCAATCGCCATCGATTGCTTTGTTCTTGTGTTTTGTTCATTTTTCGCGCCTATTTTCCGTTAGGCGCACGCAATGCTATTTTTATTTTTGACCCCTAGGCCTAAATTCCGTTAGGTGCGCTCTTTGCATCAGGGAGTATGGACATACCTTTGTATATCGAAAACGAAGTTGTGCACTCCCATTTTTACTTTTCTGGATCTGTTGTAGATAACAAAAGGAAAGTATGGAGATCGTTCAAAAAATGACCCCCCGAAGATTTTACATCTTTGACTTAGAGCACCTTAAAACGTCGAAAAATGCAAAAACATTCAGTTTTTTTCTTCTCTATGTATGGATGTTAATGTGTGTGTTTGTGTAGCACGATTTTGTTTACCCTCTTTGAAGCTTAATAACTCCGGTGCTTTCGAAAATTTCTGAAATTTTGCAAGAAGGTTTGTTTATTAGAAAGATTCATGCTATTAAATTTTGATGGTTTAAGGTCGACGGAGTGGTGAGATAAAGAGTGGTCCTGTGTCATACCTCGAGTAGGGTCGGATTTAATGACGATTTTACTCGTTATTAGCATTTACAATTTTTTTATAAAATCTAGCCCTACCCTCAAATTTAGGCATTTTGTAATAATTAAAAATGTAAACAGTTTTTTAATGAAATATCATAACAGATAGCGCCACCAGAATTTTAAATGTTACTGGGAAAGTTAAGCGATTCGTTGCTGAATTTTTTAAATTTAAATGGACCCACATTATATTTCTGGATTTTTCGTCTCAATGGAAAATGGCAGAGTTTTATCAAAATCGATCTATTAAATTTTGAGAACGAACACAATTCTGTAAGCCTCATAGAAAAAGCTTCGCTAACTCTCCGCTTTAATTACTATAGTGAAATCAGCTTTAATATTTTACTTTACTACAAAATTAGAAAGCTTCTATAAAAAATAAAATACTGTATAAAGAACAAAACAGAGTTTTAACAATGACAGAACTTAAATAAAAAAAAATAATTTGATTTTTTCGAGTTCTCAGAGTTAGTTACTTTATTTTAAAATTCTTTATAAATATTAATAAAAAATATATCAACTAAATGTAAAAAAAATATTCAAATATCTTTAGCTGCATGACGAAAATATCCAATCGAACTTTCTTTTACAAAGGTCTTATCCTTAAGTTCGAAATGAATTAATTTTAGAGTTATAAAAACACTGACAAACTTCTTGCTGAATACGAATGATGAGTTAAACTATATTTAACATAGAGTTCGAGTTGGCAAACTTTCGAGTTTACTCAAACTACATAATAAGGTCGTATGTGGCTTAAATTTCTAGATCAATATAAAATTACGACTGACTTCCGGATTGAAAGTAGTTGAAGTAGAAAAGATTTCTCAAACTGTGTGGACCTCCTGGAGAACATTTGCAACTTTCCAGGGGTCCGCGGCATTCTCCAGGAAGTCCACGAAAATTCGTATACATACTTAAATGTTATTTAAATAAAAACAATATAAAAAGTAATAAAAAAAACCCTTAAGTTTATTCAAGTAATTCATTATTATTTAATATATAGTAAATAATAAGATTACTTAATTTGGATGACTTGCATTCAACATACTAAATACTCTCATATTAAACGATTTTATTGTTCAAATTTAATATAGTTTTTATTAATATTTATATTTAAAAGAAATAAAAATATCCCTAAAAATATAATTTAATGATTTATTATTATTATTAAGTTCGAAAGATTTATTGCATTTCAGCAGAAATTCTTACTTTCGAAAGGCTTCCAAGCATTTTAAAATGTTATTTTCCGGTCGCAGTTTTGGAAATGACAACTCGAATTGCTCATGTAAATGTACCAATTCGAATAAAATAAATTTTTCGCTTAAGTACATTACACAAAAACACAATGTCGTAATAATACATAATTGCGATTTTAACAGTTAAGGTGTCGATCCGTTCTCTTCGAGAAAACTCATAAAAACCTAAAGAGAAATCGAATTTCGGATTTCTCATAATTCATTTCTTGATTATATAAAAATCCTATAACGAGTAAAATGACTTATTCGCAGCTTAATCTGAGTATAATTAATATAACAAGACCTTTATAATGTATCGTGGCTAGAGCATTTAGTACTACGGGCAAGCTTAAATATGGCGTCTTTTGGATAAGCCTTTCATTAGTCTGTTACATATTTAAAAATCATTTAAAAAACACTTTTTACTAATATAATAATTATTATATTTCAATACAACAGAAAAAGTCACAATATAAATTCATAGGTAGATTTACTGTATAGGGCCTAATTATATATACAAAAATACTATTAAATTATTGTTAAATGTTAAATATATAAATAATGTCAATTCGGC